CTTATAAAACCCCAGTCAAGGCTTATGGAGAAGCAGTTTAGGGAGTTTGAGCTGTCACTCGCCTGGCCTTGAGAGGCAGATGTCGGCACTGCTGGGGGCTGCTGGTCCCACAGTCGTGAAGTGCAGATGTCCGCACCAAACCAGTCACTATCAGGGTGTTGTTAATCACTTGTCTCTGAAATGCAGGCTTAGGAAAGCAAACACTGACAGTACCAGGCTGTCACAGTCTCGGGAAAGCAGTTGGTACCAGGATGCTGTTAGAGTGTTAGTTTTTTGGGCCCTTGCAACTCTGTGTTCCATGTGTGAGGTTTACATGATGAGTTGTTTTAACTACAATCTCCTCTCCCATTCCCCTACAAACCCTATCACACCCCAGCCTGGCTTGCTGGAGCCATTTTCTTTTTTGGGTCAGAGTCTCACTCTGTTGCCCAGGCTGGAGTGCAGAAGCATGTTCATGGTCACCCCAGTGTTGATCTGCTGGGCTCAGGCGATCCTTGTGCCTCAGCCTTCCAGGTAGCCAGAAATACAGACGCCTGCTACCATGCCCAGATAGTTTTTTGATATATTGTAGAGACGAGGTTTCACTAAGTTGTCCAGGCTGGTCTCGAACCCCTGGGTTCAGGCAGTCCTCTTGCCTTGGCCTCCCAAAGTGCTGGGATTATAGGCTTGAGCCACCGCACCAGGTCAAGAATCATTTTCTATCTCTAATAAGGCTTCTTGCCTCAAAGTATACCTCGTCTAATAGTTATTTCTTGGTATCCATTGGGGATTGGTTCCAGAACCTTGAAAGACACCAAAATCTGCGGATGTCTAAGCCCTTTATATAAAATAGGGTAGTATTTGCAAATAAACTATGCACCTTACACTTTAAATCATCTTTACTTACCTAAATATAATGCAAATGCTAGGTAAATAATTGTTACACTGCATTTTCATTGGTATTTTTTGTTATATTTTTATTTTTAGAATATTTTTGATTCACAATTGGTTGAATCATGGATGCGAACCTGTGGATATGAAGGGCCAACTTTATTACCAAAGCCGCACCAGCTTTCTTCTGGTTGGTATTTACACTGGTATCTTTTTCCATCTTTAAAATTTAACCACAGAGGAAGTTTGAAAATGTATTCCCTGTAAATAGCAGAAAGGTTTTTTTTCTTTCAACACTTAAAAATGCCATTTCATTACCTAGCTTTGTCACTGCTTCTTTGAAAATAATGTCCATTCCTGGTCCTCCCTCAGTTTTACCACGATGTGTCAGGGTGGGATTTTCTGACTTTTTAAATCCATGGCTTGATTTCATTAGTTTCAGAAAATCCTGGGTCAGTACTTCTAAGCATTTATTTTTCTGCTCTATTTTTTTTTCTCCTTGGATTCCAATGACCAACATGGTAGCTCTTTGCTGTGTATCACATATCCATGTGTGTCTAACACTCTTTCCAGTAAAGCTCCATTTCTTTTTCTGTGCTTCAGTTGAGCATTAAAAAAAAAATGTGTATAAATGTTTATTTGAACAAGAAAACTTGAGATGATTGATACAGTATGCTTACTACACCATCTCATCAGGCTTGCTTGTAAGAATGAATGGATTCAGGTGCTGTCAGTGTGATCCACATAGAAATTTATCTTGACTTGGTCCCCACCCCACACTCCAACATGAGACAGAATTGCATATAGATATGTGCATAGATCACTCCTCTTGATTCCAAGGAATCTGAGAAAGGGAATTGAAAACAAAGGAGAGAAAAACAATCCAGTACTTTATCAGCTGGTTACCATGGGAAACCACAGCTCAATCTTATTGGGTCCCTTTGTCAGGAAACAGGTATAGCACACACCTGGAATATATGTAGTCTGCCCCAAGATAGGGGAGTATTTATTCACTTGTCATGTCTCCAACTGCTGACAGGTTATCTAAGAAGCTAACTCCTTTTTACACAGGTTTGTGTGGGCATTCTGGTGGAAGCCCCTCAGAAAAAGGTAAAGCCATTCAATGGATCTGAAGTAGGGTGCTGCCAGGGTATTCCTGCATGAAGTTGGTTGTCTCAGAAGTAGCCACAGCACAAAGATGGGCTGATGGGTGTGCTGGACATATTTTATGCTGTCTTATTTTCTCACCCTGTGGTACCAACAGTCATTGATACTTATTTCCAAGATCTCTGATTTAATTATGGGCTGCAAAGCACTATTTTTCTTATTTTATCTTTATTAGGTGGAATTTTTCCATACAGAATTCCATTATAAGCTGTTTGACTACCCTACAGGTTCAATTTTGTTAATATGGAGATTGCTAGGGCATAAATTTGTTGTCCTGAAAGTTGATAAATAAGGGGGAAGTGGAATCAAGCACTTATCCTGCCTTTCTTGCACCATGAGGCTATTTTAGCATTAACTATGAACTTGAATTAAGAATACTGTTGGGAGTGAGCCATGGAGGCCCACTGAGTGTTAGGGATCAGGAAGGGCCATTGACCCCGAGACCACTAGGATGCGTTCGGGAGCTATTTGACCCCATTTCCTCCCCCTTTCTACTCAGCACTAACCAGATTAAGCTCCTGTGAGCTCAAAACATAAAAACTCTGAGACTGGA